GAACCTGACACACTTATATTTAGAGAATAAAAGATGGAGATGGGCTGAACGATATCTCTCCCACACAGCCTCGGCTCGTCCACTGATGCATGCTGGTCCAGCAGAGCGCTGTTTGTGTTATTCCTGGATCCGAGTTAGTTTTCTTATTGATCAGAGTTTTGTCTGATTGTGTAACACACTGTAGCGTTCCCAAATGGCACACGATGCAGATGTATCTGGACATCAGCAGACAAAAGTTTCAATGCATTTGATTGAATTTGTGACTTTTTGTCTCAGTTTGGGTTTTGCATAAATGCTTAGATGTTAGTTTTGCAGAGGAAAGCTGGGGAAAAAAAGCTTATGAATCCCACATGTTCCTCCTCCACTAGTGTTTAAAAGCATGCAAGGATGCCGTTTTGAGATTGTTGCATTACCTTTTGAGCAAATATTGTGCAAATTAAGTGTGCATTTCATTTCAGTTGCTTTGTGTTAATATCATTTTAAAAATAAAGCTTATTTATTGGTGGTTTCATGAGGAGCCTTTAACATCCGGGGAGCCTTTGCTTTGCACAAAGATTCTTTATTGTGTAAAAAAAAAAAAAAGATTCTTTAGATTATTAAAATGGTTCTTTTAAGAACTGTTTGCTGAAAGGCTCTTTAGGTAACCAGAAATGGTTCTTCAATTGCATCAAAAAACAAAAAAAAAATTGTATGTATACCTTACAGACATTCTCATATAAAAAAATTCAGACAAGACACACAGTAGAATAACAGAAAATAGCAGTAATTCAATTATATTTATTGGTTATATTGCAGTGTAAGATGCATTTATTTATTAGATATTATTGCATCACACAGCTTTAAGTACAATGGTCATGACTTTATATAATACTAGAGTTGCTGCCCTCTCCTGGGCATAATATTTCACTGCACTGTATCTGAGCATATTTTTTTTTTTTTAATTTTTATTTATTTTTTTATTTTTTTATTATTATTTTTTTATTTTATTTAATTTTATTTATTTATTTTTTATTTTTATTTTTTAATAGCTGTATCAATCACCTTCTTTGTAGCTATCGGCATCTGCTTTTGAAAAACGATTACAGACTTACATTTTCACGTTTTGGGGTTTCTAAGAAGTAGAAGTAACTCATAAATGGGTAAACTTATACAGTGGTGAGTCCTATAGCAAATATGATTTTTGCATTACCAGTCACTTTAATGGCAAAAGAAAAATGCATGATGGCATTGAAATAATTTTTTTTAAAGAATGACAGAGCAAATAAAGAACATTATGTAACAGTTTAGAAAGTGTGAGATATAGAACAAAAAATAACAATACAAGTGAACATAAAAAATAATACAAATGCATAATAATAATAATAATAACTTTTGGGCAGTGACATGAAATTTAGAAAAGCGTTTTTTTGTTTAAAATGGTTTTAAAGAGCTTCTTAAGATCAGTGATGCAGGATTGGATAGTTCACCCAGAAATGTCAGCGGTAGCCATTGACTTCCATAGTGTGGAAAAAATCCTCTGGAAGTCAATGGCTGCTGGCAACTCTTTGGTTAAATTTAATGGTAAAATAACACCATATAGTGCTATAAATTTACATCGTTAAAAATGAAAATATATTTGCATCAGATTACTGGAATGCACACTTGTTTTACACAACATTTAGAGTAAGAAGGATTTTTGGGAACTCAAACCAGCAGATTCTTGTGCTGTATTGTGCAGAACCTGTGTGTAGTGATATTGACCTGTCTGATTGATTCAGGTTATGATCTGGAGACTGGACCCCCCCTTGCAGGCCCACCTCTCTGTGTCTCTCTCTCTCTGTCTCTCTCTCTCTCTCTATAGGTTGTGTAGTGCTCGTTCGCTCTGGTATCGTCAGGTCATGTGACGTCATCCTCCCCCTCTCAGCCCACTCCGTCCGGTGGGACCGACTCTGACTCATCTCTCCCTCCTCTGCTGTTCTTTCAATCCATCCCTCCTTCCCTTCTCTCATTATTCGTTTCCTCACTCGCTCCGTCCTTCAGTCTGCGCTGTCGCTCGTCGCACGATCTGTTAAAGCAGGGAATCCTTCTGTGACGCATTTTCCCTGCAGCTCAGTGCGTTACAGCGATCTGACCATCAAACACACACACACACACACGCAGCATCTGCCCGCACACAGGCAGTGTTATAAAACCACAGCGTAGCATCACAAGAAGTCCTTCACTCTCTTTCTCTCGCTCTCATTCTGACACTTTCTCTTTCAATTCAATTCAATTCAAATTTATTTGTATAGCGCTTTTCACGATACAAATCATTGCAAAGCAGCTGTACAATATATGTTTCTACAATATATTTAGTTCTTTCTTCTTGTGTGCAATCAGTTTGTTTTGTCACATTTAATTTACATTTACATTTGTGCATTTAGCAGGCAATTTTATCCAAAGCAGAACAAAAGCAATTCGTCAAAGAGCCAACAATATAAAAAAATGAATTATGTGACCATTGACATTATTTTGCACATCTTTTTCATTCATAGCATTCACACATCAAAGATGCATTTTGACATTTTAAGATGTTTATTAAAACATTTTGACCTTTATTTATTTATATATATATATATATATATATATATACACATGTTGAACAGTGGGCTTTTCTCACACCGGACTGAGTTTTTTCTGTTTTTAGCTTGATTTGTAAATGGTGTTTTAATCTGGCTTTCATATTCATTATTTTTTTCTCCTTCGTTAGTATTTTAAATGGCTTGCATTAAGCAACTAAAACCCTTATAAAATATATTAAGAAGTAAGAACAAAATCATGATGCATTTTCACGTTTAGTTAGATGCTGTTTCTCTGAGAGACTGAGACTGCCTTGCAGATGCCATAAATACATAAATATATTTGTTTATTTTATGTATTTTATGTATTAATTTCTTTATAATGTGAAATTAATGTAATGTGCCTTTGGCAGAAAGTAATTTTGGATTTTATTTGGGTCAATATAAATGAAAATGTTTTTTTTTTGTGTGTTCACATTGTAAACCGTATGTAAAACATGCCTTATTTATTTTATTTATTTATTACTATATTCTATGCTTTTCTTCTCAGAACAAAGATTATATTTTTTGTAACTATTTTCTTGCATATGTGCTCTATTTGCTTGTACCGCGGCGAATGCACACGGTGAGGTAATTTGACACAATGGAGTGTGTTGTCATCAGAACGGTCTTAACTGGGTCACTGTGTGTGTGAGAGAGTGTGTGTGTGTGTGTGAGCGTGTGTGTGTGTGTGA